CCCCTCTCGCCCCCGCTCCCGACCCGCCGCGAGGTCCGCGGGGCTCACCGACTGGCCGCTCCCACCCTCTTGCCAGTGCAGGAGCCCAAGGGGGTGTTCTCTGCGCTCCGCGGTGCTCAGCTCCAGCCTCGCAGCCCCTCTCCCCCCACTCCCCGCACAGCCCTGACCCGGCCCCCATCTCTGCCCTTTGACAAAGGAGAGGGAGGACAACTGCCACGGAGATGCCCCTCAGTGCTCCTCTCCTCCCTCAGCCTGGGGGTCCCCACTCCTCACTGCACCCCAGACCCTAAGTCTTGCTGGCTGGGGCAGGAGTGAGCAGACCGGGCTTATCACAGTAGGGATAGAGGGCGAAGTAGGTGCATACAGTAGGTGCTCAGTGTTTACCATGGGGCTGAGAGGAGGGTGTTCTGACTCACTGGAGGGCCTTGCTCTGTGGCCCCTGGCCAGTTTTTCCTCTTCTTTGGGCCTCCATTTTTACCTCCATAAGGAGAGTAACAATGAGCATCTACTAGGTGCCAAGGGCTTTACTTGCATTATGTCGCTTATTTCTCACCTATAAGGCCCGGCTCCACTGTTCACATTTTGCACAGGAGGCGGCTGCAGCTTGGCGAGGTTGCTTGACTTGCCAAGGGCTCACCGCAAAGACAGGATTTGAACACAGGCTGATTTGCCTCCCAAGCCCCTGCTTGACACGACTGTCTCCCTACCTAAAGTGAACTCAGTTACCCTGGGATCCCTGAGATCTTACAATGTGCCTGTGCCAGCTCCTCCCCAGCCGGAGAACAATCTGGAACAATCTCTTCTCAAGAGCAGAGGGAAGGAGGAGTGGCTACAGTCTTCCCACCCCTCATTCTGGCCATGATGAATGCTGTGAGCAGTGAATGAGTAATGACTCTAAAGTGCAGGGGGCTTTGGAGCAGTAGCAAGCAGCCACAGTTAATAAAAGGGTTCGATGACTCCTCCCTGATTACCTTGGGGACATCCACATGCGTACCACTGTCCCCACCTCGGTTGCACACACCATTCTACCCAATCCACTTATTTCTTGGCCTTGGAGTACCAGAGAAATGCCTTCATCCAGCGCCCACCAGCCTCTCCCAAATGAGAGGACCTCTGGAACACCAGGCAGCTAGAGAGGCTCCCCACCCCCACCCTGTTGCCCTCTCCACTCTGAGTCCCAGAGAAACAAGGTTGAGGAGAGAGGCATAGACCAGGGTCTCAAAGCCCCTAAACCAGGTGTTGGGGAGGGGCAGAGGATGTCTCTTCAAATGAGCTCCCTCCTCCCTACTGTCTGAAATTCCACCGTTAGGGGGACATTCCTTTGGGTTTTAAAGGCCTTCTGGTCTGCCAGAGGCCCCTGAACGGGCTAATCCTTTTTGGAAAGGGGACACCTTTGCAAAATTATCCCACAGAACCATCTTCATGATCTCCTTCCCTCCCCCTTTTAGATTAAGAAACTGAGACCCAGAGATGGGAAGGCTTGGTGCATATTCCCAGGGTGAGTCAAGAACAGCAAGAGTCCTCATCTCCTAATACCCATCCCAGGGACTCCTTGCATTGCCTCCTAAATTTCTACTTGGTCACCTTGGAAGGGGTGAGATGGGAGAGGGCTCAGGGGTTCTTGCTGAGCAGTGGAATTTGACTGGTCAGCCCCTTAGTACCCTCAGGCCTGCTCTGCTTTTACTCCTCCAGGCTCATCTGTTTCCTCAGTCACATACCTTTTCCTGGGGTGAGCTTCAGTTGGGACCTCCACCTGTTTGGGATAAGAACTCAGGAACCAGAGCACCTTACTCTCTGTTCTCTCTCTCTCTGCTTTCTCCGTCTCTCTCTGTCTCTCCCCCTCACCCTGGCCCCCTGCAGCTGCTTTTCGCCCCGCCCGACCCCGCCCCATCAGCTGCATCTTGGCCCCTAGGGACCATCTCCGCTCCTCACCCGCCAGGCAGGAAAAGACAACCTGGGAACTACAGGAGCAACTGGAGTCTCCTGAAGCCTCATCGCAGGAGCCAGCAGGAGAGAGGTTATTAAAAGGTCACAGAATCCACTCCTGTCCCTGCTGAGGAGAAAAGGAAGAGGGACAGGGTCTTGGTAGGGTCTGGAGTCTAGTCCAGCGCAGAGGAGAAAAGAAGGCCTTAGCGCCACCTGCTGGTCTCTCCAGGTATAACCCTAGGTAGATGTAGGGCATCGGGAGGGGGAGATAGATGGCTGTGTCTGAGCGTTTGAGAGGGATGGAGAAGGGTTGCTGGAGGAGGGGTCATGAAAGACAGGGAGGATTTGGAGAAATGTGGCTGTGGAGGTGCAACCTTTCCAGAGCCCATGATGCATTAGCTTGGTTCTGGGAAAAGTCCTGATGCTTGAAGCCTGGCAGCCAGTGGAAGCTGGGTTGGGAGTGGGAAGAGCTGGGAGGATTTAGAAACACCCTGGGTTATCTTGGGAGGGGGCTGTCAAGGCCATTTACTTTATATACACCATCTCTTAGCACAGGGCTAAGAGCAGTAGGCACTCATAAGTGTTTGCTGAATGTATGGAATAATTTTGTTCTCATGCATATTTATTAAATACCTATTCTGGAAATACAGCCATGGAAGAATGAATGAATGAATGCATGAACAAGGATCTGAGTAGGGTTAAGGGATGGGCCTCTGTCCTCCCAAGCTGCACTGATAGCCATGGAAGAATGAATGAATGAATGCATGAACAAAGATCTGAGTAGGGTTAAGGGGTGGGCCTCTGTCCTCCATTTGGAGGACTCTACAGACATCTCCTAGGGGACTGACTTGTCACTTACACATTGACACCTGGTGAGATCACGAGCATTTGGATCCTCCTGAGTGTCTAGAGCTTCCCAGAGTCCCAGTACCTAACCCGGACTGCAGGTACCTAAGCCAGATCCAAGGTAAGCATGAGAAGGTTCCTCTTTGCCACCTAGAATGGTCCTGACCCTGTTTAGAGAGCCCCCTAGATACACACACAGGAGAAGGGCAGGAGATTGCTTTGGGGATGTAATACTCAAGCACCTACTAAGAACTTGGCTGTCTATGTAATTTTGAGTCTTAGGCTATAAGTGTTATTAGTTCTCATTCCAGATCTGGAAGCTGAGGCTCAGAGAGGTGTGGGGACCTGCCCTGGGTCACACAGCCAGTGAATTATGGAGTCATGTCTCAAATTTGGTTATGTAGCTCCAAGTTCAGGGCTTGATTCAGTCTGCCTACCACCTCCCTTCACATCTGAGGGCTTCTCAGGTCAGGGGTCCAGGGCTAGGGCTCACTGGAAGACATACATTTTCCTTCCCTGGAAGGCTTAAGGGAGCTTGCTGCTCACAGAGGTAGTTGCTAAGCCCAGGGCCCAGACCACGCCTGAGAAGGGACCCACTAGTTCCCCCAGCACATTACATACAAGAGAGAGGCTTTTTTTGAATCCTCACAACCCCGAGAAATCAGGATTGCTATATCTATTTTACAGATGAGAATACTGAGGCCCAAAGAGAGGAAGTGGCTTGCATGAGTCATGTGGCTGGGAGACACTGGTCTGGCCTGTCTAATCCCCAAAGTCCTCATCACGGCAGTAATGAGACCAGCACAGTTCAGTGTTTCCTGAGTGCCTGTGCCAGGCTGGGGGTTGAGAGCTGAAGACATAGTGATGAACCAGATTGGTCTTAGCCCTTGAGGAACTCCCACAATAGAGAGGGAGAGACACACTCTTAAAATATAGAGAGGGGACTGCCTGCTGGACCAGGAGGCACCAAGAATCCACAGGGGCTGGAAGTAAGCATTAACTTGAAATGCATTAA